TTGGGTGAAAGCAGGAATCAAAAAGCAGTTGTATCCACATACTATACAGTCGCAGTACGTGTAGACTCAGAGTTAGCCATGGTAGACACATAAACCATCAGCTCCATAACACTCCTGTTACCACACCCCATCCCCTCCCCTATACCACTGCACCCAGGGCCCCACAGACCTGCACAGAGGTACTGAATGCCTCTTTGTCCTCCCATCCCTTTCCAAGGTGCTCAGGAGAACTCCATCAAGATATTGGTGCCTTACAAATCCCAGCAACAGGACTGTCCCTTAAGCCCTAAGCTAAGGAACATGGACTGAGTGAACTCTATTCTATTCTCCTCTGAAGCGGGCTGGCTTCATTCCCCACTTTTCTCTCTCCTCTGTGTTCTCCATCCAACTTGCCCTCAACACCAGTAAACAGACACTCCGGAGCCTCATTCCAGAAGCTGCCAAATAACTTTACCACCCTTCCATTCCCAGGCAACTTCCCTGCAGGCAGCTTCTGCAGTACGTGTAAACAAAGGAAGGCAGGATGCAGACGCTTGCCCAACCCAGGAGATCCTTGTTATAGCTCCTTTTTCCTGGGCACAGCTCTTCCTATTCTCTTCAGGTTCTTGCACAATTCTTATCATGTCAGCCTTTTAGAATTAGGAAACTAAGCAAGAAGTCTTCTGTCCGTTTCTCTCAAAGGAAAGTTGACTGCATAGCAAATAGGGTTTCTGGGTCAATTAATAGGCACTGTAGTGTTCTAAGAAAAGACATGATGAAAAGGGGCAACCTTGCATGCGAATCAAAAAAGCTCCTTTTGAGCCTACATGGGCCTTCACATACCTAGGGGAAAAACAGAGTCCTGCATGCTCATACTGTGAAGGAAAAGAACTGCACCTACTGACTTCACCAAACCTGAGATCAAGAGGCAACTCAACATCATATGCTGGTGACTGAGAACAAAGGAGGTGTCCTACATCCAAGAGAATATGGTTGCCCTGTGCACTCAGTGGCAGCAGACTCAGCCACAGGACAAGCACAGCAGTTTTCTGGACAGCAACATCTATGGTCATGGATGCTAAGATACAGGATATTCAACCCAATGTACCATGGTGTGAACTAGCTGCCTTTGAGTTGGAAAGGAAGCTCTCTTCCACATGCAGGACTGTGTCAACCGGCGCACAGGCACTTTACATTGTATGCCAGGTAATGGCAAAGGCAGACCACTTGACCCTATGGACCAGTGACTGGGATAATACTATTTCCCCAAGAAAGATGAGACAAATCCACTGCATACCAAATACCAGCTCTTGGTGCCTTTTGGATCAAAACCTAGATGCATGTATTTAAAGTTGTAACTATTCTTTTCAAAACCAAATCTTTCTGAAGTTATTAAATCAATGTGGTATAGCACCTGAAATTTAAGTCTTGACATACATCAGCACATACTGGATTCAAGTTTAATAACTGGAAAGAGCGGTCCTCTAACACCTGCAATTTATATTTCCACTAGTTCCAGGGCTTGGCCATGATAGTCTGGTGGTCATTATACTTTCAGGCCTTGTTTAAACTTGGCTGCTTCTGCTGACAGTTCTGGTGGAAGACAGCAGCCACCCTAGGGGAACTGCCAGAGAAGGTGGGGGTGGGCAGCAACCAGAAGCCACAATCATGTCTCTAGGCACCTTTTCTTTGAGAGATGGTGTTGCTCCGCCAGCTGAAAGATCTTCTATTCCCAAAGGGGAACTAGGAATGTGGATGTACACTGCTTTCAAATACATATCAGGCCACATTCCCTCACTTCTGCCATGGAGTCAACAGTGATGTTGTAAGCAGGTTGCTGCCCATGGGCTTCTTCAGGTAGGCTTTTGCTACCTGAACCTTTCCAGGCCCCAGCAACAAACAAACAATACCCCCCTTCCCATACTGGGAGAGGTCCCCTGTGGCTCCTGCCTGCTTTGCCCTCCACATAGTCCAGCTCACCACTGTTTCTCCTATCTTTTCACTCCCTGATTACCAGCCTTTTCACAGCTGCAGCTCCTCAGCCAGGCAGACTGACTCCCCTTAAAGGAAACCACACTGTTACACATGCGTACTGGACAGTCAAGTGTGGCAAGGCCCTTCCTCTTTTAAAGCAATTAAGAATTATGTTTGTCTGCAGCTTTAGTCCCAGCTCCAAAGGAAATTTCTTCTAGAGCAAGTGTTAGCAAGGATGAGTGGGAGTATGTCTCTGTTCCAGTTATTACTCTCACTGCCGTTCCAGAGCCCATTTACTCAGCTGACCTCAGTATGGTAGATCTTGCATTAGTGCAGCCTGAATTAATGGTAAATGCTTAATCTCTGCCTCAAAGTGCTTTAAAATCTGGGTAAAATTTGGCCACGATGAGACTTCCAGCAGTTTAGTTTTCCAGCCTCTTCCCAGTACAGGTAGAGCCATGCTAATCTGCAAACCTAGTAGCTCTCACTGAAACTTGGTGGTCTCAGCCACATTAATTATGACCTCTTGTGACCAAAGTGTCTTTTCCATAGAATTGGATAACCTTGTGGAGTGCAGCAATAGTAATGGTGTGAAGTTTCACAGGACAAAGTTCCCTGTCCTACATTTACAGAATATAACAAACCTTCACTGTAAAACGAGGGGTCAAAAACTGGAGGCAACAGAGGAAAGTGACCTGGGGGCATTTGCTGGCCCATAGGATGACTGTGAGCTGTTAACATGATGTGGACATGAAACAGGTTAATACAATCTAAGGCTGTGGGAGGCAAGATATTTCTAGCGTTGAAAAGGAAGTATTAGTACCATTATACCTCCCACTGGTAAGACCCAGTTTAGAATAATGTGTACACCAGGACTGTCCAGCTTCTAAGTGGTAAAGGACTGCACACCACATGGGCTGCACCAGCATGGAGCACAACAGGACTCCTTGATGCACTGCACTGTACAGGCTCCTCAGCCCCCAATTCCAGCTTCCTGGTCACTGGCTCCCCTCCTGTACCATACCATGCCATGCAGATGCTCCACTCCAGGCCATCGGATCCCTGTGTCATGCTGCCCTGCCCCTTGGGGTAGGTTGGAAGTAGAAGCCAGAGCAGGAGCCTGGAGACCCAGCTTCTGCTGCAGCCAAAGCATTGGGCTGGGGGGGTGGGGCAGTGGTTAGGTGGGAGCCTGGGGACTGCATGTTAAACCTCCGTGGACAGCCCTGGCATACACCTTTGGTTGCCTACCTTCAAAATGGTGTATTTATACGAGGACAGATACAAAGGTCTAGGAGGATGATTATAGGAGTGGAGATGAAATGAGATTGCCTTGTTTAGCTTTGCAAAATATAGGCTGACAGGGCATACGATTACTCTCTTTAAACATATTTCCAGGGTGAATATCAGGGAAGGAGAAGAGCCATTTAAAGTTCAGAACATTATTGGCACAAGAGCAAATAGATGCAAGTTGGTTACAAACAAATTTAGATTGGAAATTAGATGCAGACTTAACCATCAGAGGACCCAAGTTTTGGAAAGGCCTTCTGAACAACATAATGAAGATAAGGTACCTGAACTGCTTCAAAATTAAAATTTGAATAGCTTATGGAAGAAGTGACAGCATGACAGGAAATGGGTGTGCTTGGTGCAGTCATCTGAGTGTGTCACATAGATACTTATGTATTTGTTACTTCCATGAAAGAGCTAAAAGGAAACACTCTGTGTGGGAGGTTTTTGGAAATCCCATGCTTCAGCACTTCCCATGGTTGTTTGTAGGGACCAAGAAGAAACCCCCTTCCTCCACACCTCTCCCCTCCCCTCCCCACCCGAGACTCCTTTGCTGGCTTCTGGGGTTCCCTCCCACCCCATATTCAGTTAAAGCATTGAACACTGGACACAGCTACAGTTTAGCTGGGATATGGTAGTTCTCCAAGGGCACTTGAGAACCTCTTCAGTGCTTATCTCATGGGATTAGGTCATGAATTTAAAGTCAAACCACTTGCCAAGTTTGGCATTGGGAAGGAACTATTTTCCAGGTCAAACTGGCATAGACAACGGCTCTCCTCTGTAGCACAGGGCACAGTCATTTTCCTAGAACCATCTGAGCATATATTAACCTAACTAAATGTCATACTGTTACAGTAGCAAAGCACTGGTTGCACCCTTGTGGCAGGTGTTTCTGATTTTCTCTTGAGGTGCTTTCTGGCTGATGTATGCAAGAGGGGTCAGAGTAGGTGTTCACAGAATCATAGAAAGTGAGGGTTGGAAGGGATCAGGATGTCATCTAGTCCAACCCCCTGCTCAGAGCAGGGCCATCCCAGCCAGGGCTTTGTCAAGCCGGGCCTTAAAAACCTTCAAAATCTCCACTACCTCTCTAGGTAACTTGTTCCAGTGCTTCACCACCCTTCTAGTGAGAAAGTTTTTCCTAATATCCAACCTAAACCTCCCTTGCTGCAACTTGAGACTGTTGCTCCTTGTTCTGTCATCCATCACCAGCTCCATCCTTCGGTACCAACCTTCAGGTACTTAAAGGCTGTGTAACAGGATTTCCTTCCCAGTCAGGTCTACGCATCCAGTCTTCCCCCGTCTTTGGGCAGTCCGCCTGCTCCACTCACATGCCACCTCTCTCTCACCGGGGTCCCATTCACTCCACTGGCTCTCACCTGGCCTCTTTCATGCTGCCCTCTTTCCTGGGCCACATTCATACTGCCCAGCCTCACCCAGTTTTGGGCCTCTCTCTCCATGCCTCAGTCAGCCCCGGCAGTCTGTCAGTATCTCCTGCTGCCCTCACCTGAACGTTTGCTGAATGACTCTACAACTGTTAGCCTACTTTGCTCCTGGCCCCTCACCGGGCTTCCATGCCTCCACTGGGCCTCTTCCCTATGCCCCTCTTTTCGGGCCTCTTTCTCCATCGCCCCTTTTCTGTCACCCCCCTCCCTCAGGGTCTCTACTCATGCCCCCAGGCTTTACCCTTGCTCCCTGGGCAAGACTCCAGGTCCCTCCTCCAGCCTGGACTCTGCCTCAGGGCTCCTAAGGAGCCCGGGCTCCACCTGCTCTGCTGCAACACCACCAGGGTGTGGGGCTGGGGTTATAAGGCACCCTGACGCACCTTTCATCAGGGAAGTAACTGGCCTGGCATTTCCTGGAGGCTCCCACGCCACTAGGAGCCCCACCAAGCCACCCTTCCCCAGCAGGGTGCAGTTTCATGTCATGTCCAGGACCAGGAGCCTCCACCTGCCCATAGCCCTTTCCCTTACCTCCAGGTCCCCGAGCAGGAGCTCAGGCAGCCTCCCTTGCTAGCAGCCAACTGTCCTCTTGATATAGTTGGCCTGCATTTGAAAATGGCTGCTGCCTGCTCCAGTCCTTGAAGTGGCAGGCACCAAACGTTCATTGCCACAGGTTGCTATCAAATCCCCTCTCAGTCTTCTCTTCTCCAAACTAAATAAGCCCAGTTCTCTCAGCTTCTCCTAAACATTTTTGTCATGTGCCCCAGCCCCCTAAACATTTTTGTTGCCCTCTGCTGGACTCTCTCTAACATGTCCACATCCTTTCTATAGTGGGGGACCCAAAACTGGACACAGTACTCCAGATGTGGCCTCGCCAATACTGAATACAAGGGAATAATCACTTCCCTCAATCTGCTGGCAACACTCCTACTAATGCAGCCCACTATGCTGTTAGCTTTCTTGACAACAAGGGCACACAGTAGGCTCATATCCAGCTTACTGTCCACTGTAACCACCAGGTCCTTTTCTGCAGAGCTGCTGCTTAGCCAGTCAGTCACCAGGCTATAGTAGTTCATGAGATTCTTTTATCCTAAGCACATGGCTTTGCATGTGTCCTTGTTGGACCTCAGGAGATTTCTTTTGGCCCAATCCTCCATTTTGTCTAGGTCACTCTGAATCCTAGCTGTACCCCTCCAGCTTATCTACTACTCCCCCCAGTTTGGTGCCATCTGTGAACTTGCTGAGGGTGCAATCCATCCCATCTTCCAGATGGTTAATGAAGATATTGAACAAAACCAGCCCCAGGACCGACCCCTGGGGGACTCCACTTAGTACTGGCTGCTAGCTAGACACTGAGCCATTGATTACTAACCTGTTATTCTTTGAAAACTGGCTGCCTGCACGTTCAAGGACTGGACTCAGTGGCCTAGGAGACCACTTCCAGGCTTATATGCAGGAAATACATTTTGTGGTTAAACTGCGTTGTCTTCATGTTGTCCATTTGGTCATACAGCCCAATATAATAGCCCCTTGGAGGAAGTTCGTTCACTGCCTTCCTGGGGCATTGAATCAGGCTTTTACTCACTAATTTGCAGAAGTAATAAGTGCATCCCCCATCACCTGTAAGGATCTATAGCACTTGACTACAGTGCTTTGTTGTTTGAATGAAGTGCAAGCAGACACAATGAGAAGGACCCCTGAAATGTTGGAAAACAACCTATTTCTCTTCTCTCCTCCAACTTACGAGCTCCACAGCACCCTCCCTCCCCCCCTCCCAGTACTTTTAATAGCAGTCTTGAGGACCACTGGCTTGGGATCAGCAAGTTATGGAATGCAATAGAGATTTCTTGTTTGGAGCAGGCATTTGAGAACATAGGAAGCAGCCTCACCAGGCAGTGAGAGCCTGAACAAGGGGGCAAAAGGTTTCTCTCCAGAATGAGCAGTTGGGGGAACCTGAAGCAGCCTACTGAAAGTGGCTGGCCAACATTAGCTGAACACAGTCAAGCTCCTTGTCAGTGTGCAGCTGCCATCTCAGTACAAAAACCAAGCTGTAAATAATAGTTATTAACAAGCTATTCTTGCATTTGTACCACCAGAGCAGGAAACAACATACATGGTTTTTGGCCATCTGCCACTTTTGAACCAGTGAGGAACAGAACCACACAAGATGCTTCCCATGTGCTCAACCCCACTCTGTGGAGCAGGTGTAGACACACTGATCATTTCTCTGCTCCCCGTCAAGCCTGCAGCTAGCCTGTTTAGTGTTCCTGCTTGTCTGCATAGCCCCAGGAAACAAAATGTGCTTGAGCACTACAGCAACCTATTTAACCATGTATGGTCTGTGAACACAATGTCACAAAGGCAACTACACCTACTCTAGGAATTAGCATCCCGGAGATAAACTGGCAAGACAGGATGTGACACAGATACTCCAAAAACCTCAG